GCTGGGAAAAATAGAAGAATTTTTAAATTCATTTCTTTTAATACTAAAACAGAATATGAAATTAAACACTTTATCACATGCAATACTGCTGATGTTGTTTATATGATAACATGTCCCTGCGGGTTACAATATGTAGGGAAAACGTCTCGTTCATTAAAAATACGAATTAGGGAGCATATATACAACATCAGGAGAAGATTCCCTAACCATTGTTTATCTAAACATTTTTTGGAATATCATGATGGAGACCCAGCAGGCCTGGATTTTTTTGCAATAGATCATATTAAAATACACTGGAGAGGGGGTGATAAGGATAATCTTTTAAGCAAAAATGAGATGAAATGGATTTTTAATTTGGATACACTTACACCGGGGGGATTAAACGTAGATTTTGAAATTAATACTTATATTTAACTATAATTATTTATTAAATCTATTGGAGATTATTTTAGGTTGTTTTATATTAATAAGATATGTTTTAATTCTAATTTTAGTAATACTGATTAATATTTTATAAATATTGATTATAATAAGTGTATTTTAAGTATGATGCATTCTCCCGATATACCTTTAAATGTGAATAAGATTTTTCTATTTTGATCTTTTATTTCCCTTTTAAATTTATTCCCTCTTCTTTTGCCTCTCTTTTACCTTTTTAAATCCTTTTTTTGAGAAAGAGAGAGTTTAACTGTTGCTAATATTCTACGTATTGCAATAAGAATATCTGACTATAATATTTGTTTTAATGTTATTGACAATATGTATGAAGTATGTTGCCAATAGGACTCTGATTATTGCAACATGAAAGACTGTTTAAGTGAATGGACTAGCTCGCTGTTCCTTTTCTTCAATGAACATGGAAGTAAATTGAGATCGTTAAGGATGCTAGGATGCCCAATAAAGTTGCAACAAAAAAAAAAAAGGGGGAGGAGCTTATTTCCGAAAAAAGGCGCGAAAATTTGCCTATTTAAAAATGGAACTGACTGAATGGACTCACACTTTGATAAAGGCTTTGGCTGAAACGCGTTAGTGTGCAGAGGTGGAATTGCTGAATTTTAATTTTTACTGCTGCTGTCTTTTTTTGCTGCTATACCGAATAAAGGTTTTCATTAAAGATCCTGCATCCTGGATTTTGTAAAGCAAGAAGGAGCAAGCAATTAAGCAGTTGGATTACAACGACCACCTCACTAATCCATTCAATGTTCCTAGTCTGAGCCAGCTTCCATATTAAGTGGCTCATGAATATGTGAGTTTATTCAAGTATTTACTCATTCATATATTATTTGTACGTTATTACCCTATGCCTGTTTTTCCCATTGTGTTTTTACAGGTTTTATATTGAATATAAGGGTAATTATTGTTTCTCTGTGCTCTCACCATTTTTTACTGTTTTAACCATTTATTTATGTGAGGTGGAGTGACCCACATTGCTGGTGATTGTAGCACTTTGTCTTATATTGTTTTTTTCACCATATATACACTTATTTTAATGAATAATTGTCAGATAGACTTAAGTATGGTTATCAAGTTAGGACACTACCTATATTGAGATATATCTAAAAATGGATTTAATATAGTATGTGTAATTATCACTGTTTGGGAGAAAAATACAGGTGACTAATATTCACAGTATAGGGAGTGTACAAATCAAATTTCATTGGATGTAAGTGTTTCTGACCTTATTAATTATGATATCATATATTGATTTAAATAGATATCAGTGCCAAAGGAGAACCAGTTTAGAAACAAGTATATTAAAGTCACACTACATTAATAATAGATATTCCTTGCATCATTAGTTATTGTATTGTATTAAATCATTATATGAGGCTTAATACTTATACCCCATTACTTTTGGCAAACTAGTCATGTATAAATGAGGTATAATTAAATTCCTCATTTAGACCTAGAGGGGCCAAAGTTTTAAAGGCATAGATCCATTGAGATTCCTTTTGCAACAAGATTCTATTAAAGTTGCATTTTCTCGGATTGGGCAGCATTTTTTCGATGGCATGGAATCGTAAATTCTCAGGCTTCCCATCATGAAAGCTAAGAAGATGTCTTGCCACTGGAGTAGTGGTGACCGTATTGTTGATGGAGTTAACGTGTTGTAGAATCCTACGCCTAAATTGTTGAAATGTTTTGCCGATGTATTGAGTACCACAACTACATGTAATCAGGTTGTGTGGTACTACAATTTACAAGGGCATTAGTACAAATATGTGTTTGGGTGGATACTGTTGACCTTGAAGGAAGAATATATTGACATGCCTTGCAGTGACCGCATTTGAAAGTTCCCTTAAGACCAGATAACCAGATTCTGTAGCATAGCATATAAGTATTTGACTGGAAAACAGCATCTTCTTAGCCCTGGGGGAAATATTTGTTCCTTATACCTATACCTTGTTGCACAATTGAGCTACATTGGAGACTGGGGGAGATATTTTGTCCGTTATACCAATTCAGATCCCTTTGTCTCCAGTCATCATTTTTTGCAGAATTAAGCTATATTGGATACCTTAAGCTTGGAGAAGTGTGTGGGAGTTACACTACTATTATTCTATGCTTTATCCATACCAGCTGAAGTATCTTAATTGAGAATTTGCATTTTTTCTTGGGCGACCTGAAACTTGGGCCAGAATCTCTCCAAAGTCAAACCGTTCTTTCAAAATATCTAATTCATGCCAAGGAAGGAAAAAAAAGACAAAGCCTGAGTTTTGTTAGCGTTTAGTTTATACAATGAAATTTCACCGAATTCTTGCAAGATAGACATCAGTGGATCAATGGAGGTTAAAGGATTTTTCAAAGAAAGCATGATGTAATCTGCAAATAGGCCTATTTTGTGTTCTTTATCTCCTACTGTTATGCCCTCTATATCCGTACACTGGCATATCATTTGTGCCAGGGGCTCCATTGCCAACACAAACAGAAGTGGTGACAACGGACATCCCTGTCTAGTCTCCACCAGACGGAATGACAGCATTTCAAAGGCCACAAATTTTGAAATGCTGGCATTCAGGGCCAGGGATCACGGGTGGCTAGGAGGGTACTTCCTCTTTCTCTCCAGTGTTTGGGAGATGGACAGCTGAATGCTTCCATGGGACAGTGTGGAGATGCTGGACAATTGTGTACCTGGCCTATGCTGGTGCAGGAACCCACCCTCAGAGCCACTTGTGAATGACTGGCTGAAAACCATGGAAATGACCCCTCTTCCTCCTGTGCCACATCCTCTTCCATCATTGCCCAAGCGACATAGAAGCGGGATAGTAAGGCTGAGAACAGCGTCATCGGCACTGGCCATGTTGGTGGAGTACTCGAAACAGCGCAACATGACACACAGGTTTCGCATGGAGGCCCACTCATTGGTGGTGAAGTGGTGCGGTTAAGCAGAGCGACTGACCCGTGCGTGCTGCAGCTGAAACTCAACTATCACCTGCTGCTGCTCGCACAGTCTCTCCAGCATGTGCAAGGTGGAGTTCCACCTTGTGGGCACGTCGCATATGAAGCGGTGAGTGGGAAGGCCGAAGTTATGCTGCAGCGCAGACAGGTGAGCAGCAGCAGGGTGAGAACGCCTAAAGTGTACACAGACGGCACGCACTTTCTGCAGCAGCTCTGATATATATGGGTAGTTTTTCAGGAATTTCTGCACCTCCAAATTCAGCACATGCGCCAGGCAAGGGATGTGCGTCAAACCGGCTAGGCCCAGAGCTGCTACGAGATTTCGCCCATTTTCGCACACCACCAGGTCGGGCTTGAGGCTCAGTTGCAACAACCACTCATCGGTCTGTTGTTCCATGCCCGTCCACAGATACTGCCCGGTGTGGGGTTTTTCCCCCAAACATATGAGCTTTAAAACACCCTGGTGGTGAAGGTGTTACGCTGACTGGATGAGGAGATCGTAGAGGAGGAGGAAGCGGAGTAGGAGGAGGAGGCAAAGCTGTGTACCCAGATTGTCAAACATTGTATCCTGGAACTGTGTCCCATCCGGTTACTGGGGAAATGGGTCTGACCTATTCTAATCAAAGGGGATAACCATTGGTTACCCAGGTCCCGCTTCAATTGGTGGCAAGCGGCGGGATCCCATGTCCCTGCCAACAGACCCATGGACTACAGTGCTCTAAAGTGACCTACACTGCAGGACTTGTGTGGAGCCAGAGGAATAATGCCTGGTGGACGTAACAAGGCCGGATTGACTGCTGCACTCATGGAGGATGACCAGGCAAGCAGTGAGGCAACGAACCCTCAGGCAGGGGGCGGAGATGAGGAGGAAGTGCACAATGAGGTGGAACAGCGCCTGGCATATTACAGAGAGCCACCCTCAGAGGAGATTGTCAGCAGGACCTTTTTGGAGGTGCAAGCCTATGTCATTGCCAATAGACAGAGGGCGACCTCCATGAACCCAGATGAAAGAAGAAGGGAGCAGAGGGCGCCGGGAAGCACAACCACCCTGGCCCACAAGCTACCATACAATGCCTTCAAAGAGTTCAAGGAAGCAGAAGAAGGCATCAATGACTTTTTACAAGACTTTGAGCGCCAGTGCCTACTCCAAGATGTAGACCCCAGTGACTGGGTCACCATCCTGGCCAGCAAACTAGTGGAGAAGGCAGCGGATATTTACCGGGCTGTACCAGAAGAATAGATCAGAGACTATCCCTTAATTACACAAATCCTCCTGGCTCGGTATGCGGTCACCCCCGAGCAATACCGCTGAAAGTTTAGGGAGACTCGGAAAGGGGAGAAGTGCTCCCATGCGGAGTGGGCATGCCACATCACAAGGGCAACCCAGAAATGGCTCAACTCCCATTAAGCCAAGTTCCCGGAGGAGATCACCCAGCTCTCATGCTAGAGCACTTTTTCAATGGGCTCCCCAATGACAATGCTGGTGAGAGACTGCCAGTCCCAAATCCTGCTGAAGCTATCTCACGATAGCCCCTTGGCAGGACATTTGGGCGGGAGCCAGACAGCGTCTCGGCTCACCCACAGCCTCTTCTGGCCAGGCATCTCAGGATCTGCCAGATGTCTGCCAGAGAGTGGGGAAGAGAAGGGACCGGCACAGGGCCCCCCTCCATCCCCTACCTATTAGTGAAGATCCGTTCGGCAGTGTAGTTGTCGACATTATAGTTGCGCAGGCACTTTGGTGACTATAGAGAACCTCAGGCCTATCACACGTCCCCGTGACGGCGACTTTGCATTCGAATGTCTGCCCTATCAACTTATGATGCCACTTCTGCGCCTACCATGGTGACCACGGGTAACGGGGAATCAGGGTTCGATTCCGGAAAGGGAACCTGAGAAACGGCTACCACATCCAAGGAAGGCATCAGGTGCGCAAATTAGTGAAGACAAATAACAATACAGGACTCTTTAGAGGCCCTGTAATTGTAATGAGTCCACTTGAAATCCTTTAACTATGATCAACTGGAGGGCATGTCTGGTGCAGAGCGACTGACCCGTGCGAGCTGCAGCTGAAACTCTACTATCGCCTGCTGCGGCTCGCACAGTCTCTCCAGCATGTGCAAGGTGGAGTTCCACCTTGTGGGCATGTCACATATGAGGCCGTGAGCGGGAAGGCCAAAGTTACGCTGAGAACACCGAAAGCGCGCACAGCCGCTAGAGTGAATGTCACATCCTGTTCCGAGTTGCGGATCAGTCTAGTGATGGCTTCTGGTATCCAGCACTCTTTTTACTGAAGCTGCATCAGAGTCCTGGTATGCGGCGGCACAAACGCTGGAGTTCAACACTAGGGGGTGTGCGGTTACCCTGCACCAGACCCTGCTAATCTATTCCACACTGTGCACATGAATAAAGTCCAATAAAAGGAAAAAAAGAGAGAAAGTCCAACTGGTATATTCTTACAGGTGTCTTTGGTTGATGGGGTCTTCTATTTATATGGTGGCTTCACTCGTTATGAAAAATAAAAAGAGGGAGAAGGGACATCCAATGGTGTAGTATGTAAAATTCAGGTATAGACGTAAAAATAATAGTATAAAACTCACATTTACCAGAGCTAATGTCCAGCTCTGGAGTAAAGCGCGTACAGCGGTTTAATCCCCGCTTGTGGGATATAAGCAGGTTCTTCTCCGTGAATGGTATCCAATTCTCGGGATAAAACAAACAGCCAATAGTGCTCACTGTATGGCAAATAATAATAAAATAATAAAAGAAATGTACTTACAAAATAAGAGCAGACCCACTGCTCTTTGATGATAGCTTGGGTGGATTGATCCCCACCTACGGATTTCTTTGGGTACAGGAAACTTCCAGGAATTTTTAGGTTTGTTTTAAAACCAGTAAAAATAATAAAATTAACAGTAAAAAGGCCAGGGTAAAAAAGAAAGATATGTGTCTATAAAAAAGATAATTGGCACAAGCAAATGACCAAAAATACTTTAATATATATAAAAAACACAATATTCAAATATCCATAACGTGTTTCGTCACACAAGGACTTTATCAAATGGGATAACATGATTTACCTGGCACATGAATGTTATATAAGAGCATGATTAATTGAATTTTGGCGCCAAAACTTGGTTCATCCAATCAGAATTAAAAACGTTTGTACAACTTTAAAATACAAAATAAACTTATTCTACACATAGTTTATAAAAGTACAACTTATTTAAAATATATTTGGTTTAAAAACGAGGGTAAGAAAGTATAGTTTTGGGTATTTTAAAAAAATCACATGACAGGCGGCACTTCCGCTTTTAGGAGGTTCCGCCGCAAAGGCACATGGGAAATGTAGTTGCGATCTATAAAAGTCAAATAAACTGAAATATTTGAATTCCCAGATTCATATAATGTGGCAGCAAGGAATAAATTACAAAAACGAAGGGGCTAAATGATTAAAAAAGGCAGTTAAAGAGAGGTCACATGGTTTTCAGCATTAGTAGCCGAAATGCCTCATGGGAAATGTAGTTTGAGTTGCAGCATGTATGTTGATGATAGGAAACACCAAATATAGATAATAAGATAGGGCAAAAGCTTGGCAATTGCTTTTTACATTAGTTTGAAAAGGTGGCAAATATGATAATTTATACATTAGTTGAAAGAGGAGCTAAATAATATTAAAAACATAAATTACAACAGATTAACCTTATATTGAAAAGAGAGAGCAATCCTAATTAGAGATGCAGATTTGATGAAAGGTGTTATAAATAAATTACAGACTTCAAATAACATAAAAGTTCTAAAAAATAAGTAAATAAAATAAAATTGTGCATTTAAAGGTACAGGCTTTAGGTCACATAAAATTTCATAAAAAGTTATAAAAAATTATATAAATCAAAATCTGCATTAAGGCCATGGGGTATAAGGGTCTGAAGTTTATACACCCATTCCATCTCTATTTTTCCAAGTAACTTTTTTGTATCACCTCCTCGCCAGGAGGTAGAACATTTTTTTTATACCAATACATTTTAATAAACAAGGATCTTTATTGTGCTTGATAAAATGTTTGGATACTGTATGATTTAGGTATCCATTTCTAATATTTCTGCAATGTTCGCTCAGTCTTATCTTTAGGCACCTTGTGGTCATCCCCACATATTGGAGGCCACATGGGCACTCGAGCAGATAAATAACATTTTTGGTATGGCAGCTTATAAAATCATAAATATCATACACTTTTTTAGTTTGATTTGACATAAATTTTGTAGTTTTTGATGGAATTACATGATCCACAGTTTTACATACGGTGCATTGTTTGCATCTAAAAAAAACTTTTGTCTGAGGGAAGAATGATACATTTTTTAAAGGAGATTTTTTTGTAAAATTTCTAGTTAAAATAGATTTAAAATTAGGTGCTCCTCTAAAAACAATGTTTGGATGAGTAGGTATAATGGAATTGAGTATCTCATCATGTTTAAGTATGTGCCAATGTTTTCTTATTATTTTTTTGACATCGTTGCTTTTGTTATTAAAATGAAAAATAACTGGAAGTGATACAGTTTCATTATTTTCTTTATTTTTATATATCAAAAGTTCTTTTCGTTCTTTTTGTTTGACTGTATTTATTGTGGTATTCAGATCTGGTTCTGAATAATTTTTTTCAATAAATTAGTTTTTTAAAAACTCTGCTTGTTCACTAAAATCTGTGAGTTCTGAGCAATTTCTGCGAAGGCGTAAAAACTGACTTTTTGGGGCACTTTCTAGCCATGGCTTATAATGACAACTAGATCTGTCTATGGCCGTGTTTACACATACTTTTTAAAAAAAAGTTTTTGTTTGGAGTTGTCCATTGTTGATAAAAATATTCAAGTCTAAAAATATTTTTTAGCTCCTCTTTCAACTAATGTATAAATTATCATATTTGCCACCTTTTCAAACTAATGTAAAAAGCAATTGCCAAGCTTTTGCCCTATCTTATTATCTATATTTGGTGTTTCCTATCATCAACATACATGCTGCAACTCAAACTACATTTCCCATGAGGCATTTCGGCTACTAATGCTGAAAACCATGTGACCTCTCTTTAACTGCCTTTTTTAAAATCATTTAGCCCCTTCGTTTTTGTAATTTATTCCTTGCTGCCACATTATATGAATCTGGGAATTCAAATATTTCAGTTTATTTGACTTTTATAGATCGCAACTACATTTCCCATGTGCCTTTGCGGCGGAACCTCCGAAAAGCGGAAGTGCCGCCTGTCATGTGATTTTTTTAAAATACCCAAAACTATACTTTCTTACCCTCGTTTTTAAACCAAATATATTTTAAATAAGTTGTACTTTTATAAACTATGTGTAGAATAAGTTTATTTTGTATTTTAAAGTTGTACAAACGTTTTTAATTCTGATTGGATGAACCAAGTTTTGGCGCCAAAATTCAATTAATCATGCTCTTATATAACATTCATGTGCCAGGTAAATCATGTTATCCCATTTGATAAAGTCCTTGTGTGACGAAACGCGTTATGGATATTTGAATATTGTGTTTTTTATATATATTAAAGTATTTTTGGTCATTTGCTTGTGCCAATTATCTTTTTTATAGACACATATCTTTCTTTTTTACCCTGGCCTTTTTACTGTTAATTTTATTATTTTTACTGGTTTTAAAACAAACCTAAAAATTCCTGGAAGTTTCCTGTACCCAAAGAAATCCGTAGGTGGGGATCAATCCACCCAAGCTATCATCAAAGAGCAGTGGGTCTGCTCTTATTTTGTAAGTACATTTCTTTTATTATTTTATTATTTGCCATACAGTGAGCACTATTGGCTGTTTGTTTTTTCCCGAGAATTGGATACCATTCACGGAGAAGAACCTGCTTATATCCCACAAGCGGGGATTAAACCGCTGTACGCGCTTTACTCCAGAGCTGGACATTAGCTCTGGTAAATGTGAGTTTTATACTATTATTTTTACGTCTATACCTGAATTTTACATACTACACCATTGGATGTCCCTTCTCCCTCTTTTTATTTTTCATAACGAGTGAAGCCACCATATAAATAGAAGACCCCATCAACCAAAGACACCTGTAAGAATATACCAGTTGGACTTTCTCTCTTTTTTTCCTTTTATTGGACTTTATTCATGTGCGCAGCCTTTTATTGTTTTTACTTTATCCTGTTTTAGAAAGGGTTTGAGGGATTCCCTTTTTTAAGGTTGCTGCCATAAGTTATTTTAGCGCTGTCTCATTTCTCCTACTTACTATTCCACACTGTGACTCCTAACTTTAACATCAGGCATGCTGTGTCCCGGTCGTCCGACCGCCACCCTGACAGTGTCTGGGTCCCGGTCTCCGGACTGCCACCCTCAATGTGAAACTTCGAATAGCTCATTAAATCTGGTACGAACCCGAACTTTGCAGTTCGGGTTCGCTCAACTCTATTATGGATCCTTTGATCACTCCATCTGTTACTTGGATAACTGGTAATTCTTGAGCTAATACATGCCGACAAGCGCTAGGGGACGGCTGCTCCGCTTTTGCACCCTGCTCCCTCTTATGCTGTGCTGGTGCCTCTGTGAGACCAGCGCCTCTTCCTCCAAACTGCACATGTCATTCGCATGACCTTGATTCCATGTGGGGTCTAGGACCTCATCATCCTCCACATCATCTTCCACCCACTTCTCAACCCTGCCCTCCTTGCCGGTCTGTACATATATGCAGATAACTTTTCTTAATTTTGATCTTTCAGCCACTTTGTAAATAACTTGTTAACTTGGTATGTGGGATTTACATATTTAAGGATACCATATTAGAGTACTATTTAACAGATAGTTCCCTTATTCAATGTCCTTAAATATGGCAATCCCGCATAAAGATAGCATATAGGGGAGTTATATGCTGAACAGCTGAAAGATCAAAATTAAGAGGCTTAATTATCCATACTGTA